TGGTTTCTTGATCCTACAGTTCCTTTCCCTTCGCTTTCGATTTTCTCTTCTCCTTTACTCCGTTATCCTAAAGGCTGGCGTGTCTCGATATCGTTCGGGTTAAAGCAAACCTAATTCCAGCAGGCTGGTTCCATAGCTGCCTGTGTCCATCGAAACGAGCAGACCTCCCGTTCGCTGTATTCGTGCAACAAAGCTCAGTCTCTCATCCCTTTTTGTTCCTCGTCCTCTCGACGCGTTCTGCCCGCAAAATTGTCGCGCCGACAGAAACCATCCCTAAACCCTCTCGCGCCGTTATTGGGGGAAAGTAAAACTCATTCTCTTCCGTTCCCGTGAGTTAAAGTGAATTAATTCGTCCGCAATCCAAATGGCAAGATTTTTATCAAAAAATCCAACACAAATAAAGAAACTTGAGGAAATTTTTAAAAAGTTAAAGATGATAAATATTATGTATAAATATTATGCAGATTTAATTAATTTTTTTAGAAGAAATTCATAAGTTTTTTACAAAAAGCAATGGAAAAAAATTTCCAAAAATGGTAAAATAACTGATTAAAAAATATAAGGATTTTATAATTTTGTTGCTAGGAAACAAAGCGTAGAAAGTGTTTACCATAGTCAATCTCAACCAATAATTTACCCTCTTGCCTTTGAAAAAAAAAACACACTAGGTTTACCTTTTATCTTGTCCCCTTTTCTGCTTGCAAAATCATCCTCTCGGTTGCATTATTGCGTAGGATGAAAGAAAAAAAGAACGGACAGGATTACGCGACTAACGAGCCGTCAGACTACCGTCAGGAACGAATTAATTATTGTCCTTTAACAGTTTCGTTTCCGGCTCCTGAACTCTCAGTGTCGCCGCCGTTCCGGGAGGGATCAGCAATATTCAATTTCATGCATCCCTTTTGCATCAATGGTCTCTCTATCATCCACACCAGCACCAGTGGACAATTATTATCCTTTGACTGTCTCTCGAATTTCGATATGTGAATCGCTCCGTCGGAAAAACGACCACCGAACTGTCGGAAATTAATTGCCAAAATTTTGACAGACACACACGGATGCTTTTAATTCGAATATCAAGTTCTGAAAGATTATGACGTCAACTCGCACAAACGCGAGAGAAATCACACTTACAAAATATATTTTTATCTGAAGCTTTTACAAATGTAATTACATAATGTATAACGACAGAAATGTATAAAGAATTGACAAATGTGGAAAAAACTCAATAATTTTAAATTCAGATAACTTCAATAACAGTATATAACTTGTATCAATAAAAAATATTAATTTTCTCATTAGAAAATGATCAACTTTTAGAATTTTTAAATAGAATTATATTTTATTCTTGTTACTGTCTCGAGATTATCAGAATAAATTCTGATTATTGAAAATGTTACATGTTTTCGTTTTCATTTAATATACAAAACAGCTGAACGTAACTTAAATGTTATTTTTATTTTATATTTACAAATATTTACAATTTTTTGAAGTCGTTGAAACTAAAAAAATCATATTATTTCAAAGCTAATTAAAAGTACTGTTAGAGTTATCTTAATCTACTATATATAAAAGTAAAATCAGAAGTAATTTATATAAGAATTAAATTAAAAACGAAAATTCAGATGATAAGATTGTTTTAGATTTTTATAATATATAAAAATGAATAATTGAAAAGCAAGCTGGATTGAAAAGCATTCGCAAAGCTGCGGGAATCTCGCTGTTCTAATGACGAATGAACGAGCAGTGGGTATACATACGAGACATGAGCATTCCCGACAGGTGCACGAATCGATTGTTATTCCGCACGGCTCGCGTACGAGCAGCATCATTAATTGTAATGCCTGCCATGGCGTTGCCTTTTAACGCGCGCGCCTAGTTGCGACGCGGGGCGGTCATGTGCGATAATCGGGGCTAAGTCGAATATCGATCAGCGCGTACGCAGTTCTCACAGGTTCTTATGAACACTATATTTCATTAAAATTCCATTCTCTCAATTTAACATCTAGATTTAACATCTAGTAGCAAAGAAAGGAGATGAAACAACGTTGTATATGTAGATGAACAGCTGTCTAATCAATGTTGATGCAAACAATTCTAACAATAAGACTTAATTAATGGTTTAAATTTGTATTTTAAGCTTGAAAAAAGCAAAACTGTTGGCAAATTTATACAGTTAAATCTTAACATTAATTTTTTTTGCAATTTTTGAGATAAATTTGAATTACATTTCATTGGAACTTATAAGGAATTATAATTGCGATGGAGCGATGTGGCATCGCAATCTAATCAACGCGACGGTCTCGGATCGATTATTGATGAATTTATGGCTCTCTACTCGATTCCATTAATTTAAGCGTTACCTACGCGTTAATTTAAGCGGTACCTACGCAAACGACGACTCTCATTCGCGTTGTTATCGTGCTCTATTTTGAGTTAAACAGCACCATCGCGCGTCGCCGCCTTCGCCGCTTCTTCTTCAGCTGCAAACAACGCCAAACTTCTCTCATTCTCTATTTTCATCCCCCTTAAGCGCGTTATTTTCGCCCGTGGAGGAAAGATATTGTCTTCCCAGAACATCGTTGAATGTCTAGCAATTTTTATTAATCCTTCTTTCTTTTTACCTTCTCCTTTCTTCGGTATACCAGTGCACTGCACAATTTTCTTACTTAAAGTTGGCTCAGAAAGAAATTGATGCAAATCCGAATATATGTATATCTACATATATATATTAAAATTCATATTATATTCAATTTTTTTATATTAATTATAATAATGCATAACTCGACGTTTTAACACTTATTACTAAGAAAACGATTGATTCATAATTGAATAAAGAATTGGTTGTTAAAAGTCTTGATCTTGATTTGAGTAATAATCATGTATGAAATATTGTATAATGCTCAAGATTAAACAATAGCAATAAATAGTGACTTATTCGTAAATTAAAGAAACTAAGAAAAATTATAGATTTTTATTGTAGGTAATGAAATTAATTTTTAAAATCTACACATATTACTAATATTATAATTTCGAGAAAGTAGCAGACAGTCAAACAATATGAATTACTAATTTAATATAATCAAAATGATTTATTACGATCGCTATTATATCGCTATTTAGAGAGTTATTAATAACTTGTTGATATATGTTTTTTTATGAGATTATATATAGAATGATCTTACATATTTATATAATTTTGGATATATAAAAAAATGTATCAAAGTTTCTATTTTACTCTACATTTAACAAGTTATGTTACACAAATATAACAACATATTTTATTAGATTTAAATGCTATCAGTGCAGGAGAATTATACTGTTGAATCGGCGCGCTGACTCGTCCATATTATCGAAAATTCTTGGTATATCTTAATGTCGTTACAGTTCTGCGATTCTTCAACAGCTCGATGCAATTTCTTCGTCACGTCCATCGTATCGTCTTAAAATAGCGATTTCGAGATGTGTCACACTTCCTGATCACATACGTCATCATCTTTGGCCCTTGATTTCTCAAAACTTCATTTTTCTCAATTCATAAGTGCTTTTCATCAGAATTTGAGTCTAATATAACCATGAGATTAATAAATAAACGCGAAAAATAATATTAATATAATTATGATAAAACATATATTTTTATTTATAATAGAATCATAATTTATAAACTTAAAATTTCCAACAAATTGCCTTAGAAATTTTCTAATTGTAATTATAAATTGAAATTGTATCAATATTGATACTATTTATGAATTTTTGTAGAAATAGAGAGAGAGAGAGAGAGAGAGAGAGAGAGAGAG